CTTCACTGCTGGTGGGAATGCAGACTGGTGCAGCCATTGTGGAAAACAGTATGGAGTTTTCTTAAAAATTTAAAAATGGAACTTCCATTTGACCCAGTGATCCCACTTCTAGGAATATATCCCAAGAAATCAGAAACACCAATCAGAAAGGATATATGCACCCCTATGTTCATAGCAGCACAATTTACAATAGCTAAGATTTGGAAACAACATAAGTGCCCATCAGCAGATGAGTGGATTAAAAAACCATGGTACATCTACACAATGGAATACTACGCCATTATAAAAAAGAAGAAACTTTTACCATTTGCAACAGCATGGATGGAACTGGAGAGCATTACACTAAGCGAAATAAGCCAGTCGGAGAAAGATAAATATCACATGATCTCACTCATATGTGGGATAAAATGATCAACATAATTTGATGAACAAGAATAGATCCAGCTGAAACCGGTTTGGCTCAGTGGATAGAGCGTCAGCCTGAGGACTGAAAGGTCCCAGGTTCGATTCCGGTCAAGGGCATGTACCTTGGTTGCGGGCACATCCCCAGTAGGAAGTGTGCAGGAGGCAGCTGATCGATGTTTCTCTCTTATCGATGTTTCTAACTCTCTATCTCTCTCCCTTCCTCTCTGTAAAAAAATCAATAAAATATATTTAAAAAAAAAAAGAATAGATCCAGAGGCAAATGGCAGGGGAGGGGGGGGGAGTGGTTAGAGAGCAACCAAAGGACTTGTATGCATGCATATTAGCATAACCAATGGGCACAGACACTGGGGCAGTGGGGACTTGCCCGGGGTGGGAAATGGCTGGGGGGGGGGGGGTCGGGTGGGGGTGGGTCCGTGTGGGTGTTGTGTCAATCCGTGAACGAGACATATGTAAACTTTAGCATACAGATCAATCTCTCCCTAGAGCCTCCAATGAGAGCATGATCTGCTGACACCTGATGCACTCATTAAGTTATTTTGAACTTCAGAACTGTGAGAAAATAAATTTCTGTTGTTTTAAGTCATCATTTGTGGTAATTTATTAGTACAGCCATAGTAAAGTAATACAAGTGGACAGAAAGTATTCAGTAAAGACTCATGCTCTACAATACTGATAACCTACAGACCAACCCTTTTGTTTTATAAACTACAAAAGTAGAGCAGATCATTTTCTAAGACTGGATTCTCTTGCAAAATGCATGGTTTTACATTTTGCCTATATGAAACTTTTTTTTTTGAGGCTTTTGTACCTAATTTGTTCATAATATATCCTTGTGGGAAAATACTGATTTTTTTTTTGTCTGGCTCTTGCAATAACATATTCCACAGTTAATTTCCAAAGCTGGATGTTACATTTATTGTAAAAGTCTCAAGATGACTCCATTAGGCATTTAATGTTAATTCTAATTTTAATATTTGTGCTGTGTCTCCAACACCTACAATAGTGCCTGACATAGTTAATAAATATTTTTTTGAATCAGTGTGATTTGTCTATTAATTCCTTTTGCTGTTACTTTCAAACATTAAAATAGCATTTTTTGAAATAATTCATGTAGAACATTATGTAAAATAGACAAAAGCAGATCTGCTCTAGTAAGTATATTAGTGAAGATTGTGAAATCCTGCTTACCCATCTGTAACTTATTACACATTAAAATTGCACCATATTCTACATTCTTATAATACTCGTGAAAACACAGCTCCTAAATTTGGAGTTTAGAAAACACTATCCTTTTGGGAAAACAAAATTTACCTAGGGTAAAGTTTAGTTTGGTTGGTTTTTGGGCTTCTACTTATGAAATGAACAAAAGCATAATAATGGCAGAGTAAGAGACTCAACAGTACCAATTTCTTTAGGAACAAAATAGGTACAAAGGTTACTAAGAAGTTATATTAGAAATCTGTTTCCCGGTTTACCTACCTTACCCACTAAGTAGGGGATACAAACGGCTATAGCTTTGGAATTTGGTTGATGAGTTCAAATCCTGGACTGTCAACAACTGTAGCCAACCTTGAGTGAATCTCACCTACAATATGGTGATAATCCTAGTATCTGCTTAAAAGGGTAATTGTGAGGATTAAACAAGATAATTACTATGCATATGATATTACATTGTAAATACACAGTAAGTGGTAGTTATTAACTAGACGAGATGTCAAAGTTCCCTTGATAACCTTTGTCCCTTTCCCTAATATTTTAAACTGCATGTTTGCATTAAGCCCTTCACTTCAGGCTATTACAATACTGGTAGTAGAATATATAGAAAAATAGCAAAGGATTTAGAGGCCAAAGATGCGGTTTTGAGTATATTTCCTTATTTTAAAATGTGAAAGATGCCATTTGTATTTTCTCTGCATCTCGGAGTTGGTATGGTCAAATAAGAGAGTAAGTGCTACATGGATGTTGATCACTTGCCTATCTGCCACTTTTCTACCCCTACCCATGCAACTCTGCAAATTCCTGACTGGGTATGCTTGATGAGCACTCATTTTCTTGTTCCCCAATCCATAGGCATATAGGCACTTTGTGGGCCCAGGCCTCATTCTATCTGCTAGATTTCATTTAGAAATTTTAATTCTAATTATTTAAATACCTTTAAACCAGCAGTTTAAATTTTTAGTCACACTGATCAGTCACTATATTCTCCTTAAAGAACACAGAACAGAATAAACAAAAGTAGTTACCCAAATTGTAAGTCTGTCCCTTTGAGACAGGGAATTCCCGATCAATGACAGCTATATTTATTACACCAAGATTTAATCCCACTCTTGATCTCACCCAGATTCATGACTTTTAATATCATCTATGAAGATGACTCAAGTTTTGAATTCCAGCTTAGACCTCTCCCTTTAAATACCAGACTTTTATATGCAACTGCCTACATGACATCTCTAGTTGGATGTCTAATGGAGACCTCAGATAGCCCAAAACTGAGTTTCCCCCAAACCCACTCCTCCCACAGTGCTTTCCAACTGTGGCCAGTTGCTCAGGCCAAATACCATGCAATCATCCTTACATCTTCTTTTTCACATGTTCCTCACACCTATTTAGTTTCTTAGAAAAGTTTACTGGGTCAACCTTTAAAATATAAACAAAATCCAACTACTTTTCACTACCATCCTTGTCACTATTATCTCTCACTTGGATTATTACAATTTGCTTCCTAACTAGTCTTCCCTGCAGTCTATTCTGTATACCAAAGCCAGAATGAGCCTGTTCACATCACTCCTCTGCTCCAAACTCCTTTCTGAAGTGGAGGAAAAGTCAAAGTCCTTAAGATCCCTGACCAAGCCCTCCACAAGCAGGCTCCCGGTTACTCCCTGACCTGTCTACTCTTTACTGCTGCAATAGCCACACTGCTTGCTATTCCTTTAGCAAACCATGCACTCCCATCTCAGAATCTTTGTACTTATTCTTTCTGCCTACAATGCTTTCCTCCCAACTTCAAGTCTCTGATCAAATGGAACCACCTTCCTTGCCCATCAACCACACCATCCTGGCACAGCTTCTCCTACCTTCCTTGCATTACTTCCCCTCTAATACTTACCGTAATACCATTTAAATCTTACTTATTGTTTTTAATCATCTAATGAGATTATAAACTACTCCATGAGGGCAAGAATTTTTCACTGTTGTTGAACTGAAAATAACCCCAGAGTAATCACTCAGTATATAATTGTTGAAAAAATGAACTTAAGTCATCACTCCCATTCCCATGTCCCTCTTTACTGAATGATTTTAATTAAAGTCACACAAAAGTTCTTGGGGTGAAAATAAAAGCAAAAGACCACTTCACATTAGTTTGTCAACATGTAATGCCCTGGGTTTATTTTGTGAGAATTCTATCACAATTTTTCCAGGTGGGATTAAAAACCTTTAAGATATTATATGCCATTGGACTGGGCATTCAGACTTCGGTACTGACAAAGCACTGGTAGTAGTCTGTTAAGTACCATTCTCTTCACAGAAGAGAGGTCAAATATTTCCAAAGGAAGGCACCCAATATTTGTGGTTCTGGCCTTGCAGCCTTCTGGAGAATCTTGAAAGGAAAAAAGCTGGCTGGCTGTTTTTAGAAACTGGAATGATGATACACATATAGTAATTACTGCATTCTTCTCCCTTATATCCTTTTTGTAAGAACAAGTAAAGAATGAAGTCTTTTAAACAATTTGACAATAAAAAAGTACAATTTCTTTTGTGCTAAAAAAAAAAAAAGGGCAAGACAACATAAACTCCAGTTGTAAGGACTCCATTTGCATACTTGATTTAACACTTTTTGGTGTGGAAGGAAATGGGACTACTGGGCTGTTTGTAGAGCAGCAACATAACGTTAGTGCTTTAAGTACCAGAAACTACCCACAGCTTTGTGGGCAAGAGGGGATGGGAAGATTCAAGAGACTTCATTTTTAGCTTGTTACTTATCCTAATGATAGACCAGGAAGATCCCCATTTAAAATCCACCCCCCCTTTTTTTAAACTGATGCGTTTTTTATTTTTGTAAAATTCTGTATGAATGTCACCATTTTTTTTCACATGATACAGAAAAAACTCAGGGACCCAGAGGGGAACCAAGTTATGTTATACCATTTACAAAATACCAAGGAGTCCACAGCTACCTAACACATTTACTACAGCACAGGAACCAATGAAGGTACAGTGTACAAAAAAACTGTAAACACGGCACAATAAATAGATAAAACAGCAGGTTCCGCACCATGCACATGATGTGATGACACTTCATCTCTATACAATCTCACATCTCACACTCTTTGTTGCAATTTATTTCCCTCCCACCCTCCACCCCAAGTGCAAAGCATCACAAATGAAAATTCGGTATTCGAGTACATATATAACAAGGGAATTACAAATATGCCAGAACTGGACCGGATAATTGCTGCATTCCTAAGTTACAGAT